ATATTGGGGAATATGTCTAATTTCCTGAATGATTTTGATTTCCATGGCTTCTCTCTTTGGTCTGATTTTGTGAAAGAGACTCAAAAGGGGGGTCTGAAAAAAAGCTGAAAGGGCTGCAGATTATTTTCCTCCCTCAGTTCAATCCTCAATTTATCATTTGGATAATGAGTTTTATTTAAATTAGTGGTGGAATCAGTTGTACTTGCTTTACCTCAACCCATTCCCATATTTGTGTAACTGATCTTTGCTTTTGGATCAATGTTGGTTTAAGGCTCAGTAGGCTTGTGGAGGATTATATATATTATATGTAACAAAAGTATTTGTTGTGGCTGTTGATTATAACAACTTTTTTTTAATAGGTCTTCTCACAAATTTTATTATTGCTTACTATTAATTTTCAACATTCAACTGGCCAACAAGAATTCCCATCTCCTGCACAATCTCACACTGGGCTACAACATCCATGACAACTATTGGAGCACTTTACGCACTTCAGATGCCTTGCTGGACATGCTCTCCACTGGAGAAGCCAATGTCCCCAACTACAGTTGTGGAAGGAAGGAGAACCTTCTGGCTCTTCTTGATGGAGCCAAGAGGGAGATCTCCATCCAGATGTCAACATTAGGAGGCACCTACAAAGTCCCACAGGTTTGTGTGTGTGTTTCTCCTTCTGGTAAAGTGAGGGGTGGGTGGTGGTGGGTGAGCAATAGATGCAATCATGTCTTCTCCATGGAATCAAAGAGCTCCATATTAACAAAAACATCAATATTTTACCCCATTATGTTCATGTTGAGATTAATCAGAAAAGGCCTGAAATTCAAGCAATACATTCCCTGGAGAAGACTTTCTACCAACTATTTAACTGATCAAAAAATATCCCTGGTTGTTGGGGCCTCTATTGGCATCTTCATTTTCACAGATAAACGATGCCTGCCCTATCCAGTCGGATTGAAGTTGGCAATAGTAGCATTTTATCTATCTAAAATGTGGAATAAAAAGGACTCTAGCAATTATAGGCCAAATAGACTAGCAGATATTGTGGCTAAAATTTATGCCATGATCCTCTTAGTTAAACTTGAGAAAAATTCATTCCTTGCAGAAGAACCAGAATGTTTTAGGTAGAGTTAAATGCTATATTGATTTTGTATGAAATAATGCATAAATTAATAATCTAATATTGGCAACAAGTTTGTCTTGAAATATCTAATCTATATCAGTGAGGTAAAACAAGGTTTGCTGCTTTCTAGATGTTAGTGCAGCATTTGACTCAATAAACAGAGAAATATGATGGAGAAAATTGATTGCCCTCAAAATGGAGCTCAGCCTGTTGGCCCTGATCCAAGCCCTTGTTTGAGGTGGGGGGTTGGGCTCAATGGAGCCATGAGAAAAAGGATCTATGCTTATCAAGGAGGAAGGGAAAGGTTTGTATTTGAACCTTTATTATTCAATCTAGATATGAATGACTTACTACGACTAATGCAGGGTCAAAAAACAGATAATTAATAAATGTTATTTCATTCTTTGACAAAAATGACTAAATTAGTGGACCAGTGAAATGCAGTGCATGTAGTATACAGTACTTGGATTTCAGAAAGGCTTTGACAAAGAAACCACAACCTATTTCTCAGGAAGCTGAAAATATGTGGGATAGACGGCATCACCCCCAGATGGGGCTCAGCCTGTGGTCCTCAATGGAACTACGTCTGCATGGAGGGAAACAAGCAGTGGGGGACCCCAAGGTTCCATTTTAGGCCCAGTTCTCTTCAAAATCTTCATGAATGATTTGGATGAGGGGAGAAATGGGGAAATCATCAAATTTGAAGACAACACTAAAGTGGCAGGAATAGCCAACACCCCAGAAGATAGGCTGAACATCCAGATCGATCTAGGGAGACTTGAATCCTGGGTCTATCTAATAAAATGAAATTTAATGTAGAGAAAGGTAAAGTTTTATACTTAGGCTAGAAAAACCAAATGTACACATACAGATGAGGTGAAACCTGGCTCAATAAGTGTAACTGTGAAAAGGATCTTGGAGTCCTAGTGGACAATCACTTAAATATGAGCCAGCCGCAGCTAAAAAAGCTAATTCAATCCTAGGTTGCATTAACAGAGGGATAAAATCAAGATTACATGAAATATTGGTACTGCTTTATAATGCCTTGGCAAGACCACACTTGGAATTGTGCATCCAGTTTTAGTCTCCATATTATAAAATGATGTAGAGACTCTGGAAAGAGTGCAGAAAAGATGATTAAGGGTCTGGAGACTAAAACAAATGAGGAACAGTTGCCGGAATTCAGTATGTCTAGTCTAGTGAAAAGGACGAGGGATGATATCATAGCAATGTACCAATATTTGGGGGGCTGCCACAGAGAAGAGGAGGTCCACCTGTTTTCCAAAGTACTAGAAGGCAAGACAAGAAACAATGGAAGGAAACTAATCAAGGAGAGAAACAACCTAGAACTAAGGAGAAATTTCCTAATGGTGAGAAATGGAATGTCTCCCCTTCAGAAATTGTGGGTGGTCCATCACTGGAGGCTTTTAAGAAGAGACTGGACAGCCACTTGTCTGGAATAGTACAGATAGATACAGATTAACAGAGTTGGAAGGGACCTTGTAGGTCATCTAGTCCAAGCAGACCCTACACCATTTCTGGCAGGTGACGGTCCAGTCTCTTCTTGAAAGCTTCCAGTGATGAAGCTCCCACAACTTCTGAAGGCAACTTTATCTCTTTATTTCCAGGTTGAACATCTCCTTGTTCAGTTTCCATCCATTATTCCTTGTCCAGCCTTTGGGTGCTTTGGAAAATAGCTTGACCCCCTCCTCTCTGTGGCAGCCCCTCAAATATTGGAAGACTGCTATCATGTCTCCCCTGGTCCTTCTCTCCACTAGACCAACCATGCCCAGTTCCTGCAACCGTTCATTGTATGTTTTAGCCTCCAGTCTCTTAATCCTCTTGGTTGCTCTTCTCTGCACTTTTTCTAGACTCTCAACATCTTTTTTATAGTGTGGTGACCAAAACTGGATGCAGGATTCTAGGTGTGGTCTTACTAGGGCTTTATAGGGTGGTATTAGTACCTTTTTTTTTTGTATTTTTTTTTTTATTTTCAAATAAAACCAACATAAAAGCATCATCCTTTCAAACAATTACAGACAGCGTTTCGGTCAGTTAAAATCCTTTCGTGCTCACAAAATCTTCAAAATATCAATATATGACACATACTTCTTTTCTCCTAAAAAAACACAAATTTTTACACATTTTATCTTAATTTCACTTCATATATCATATTTAATCTCCATATTTTATTATCTATCCAACAATGAAACAAGCCCTATATCAAATAATATTGATTATCTTCCTGTTCTCTAATTTCAAATGTCAGTTTACTCATTTCGGCACACTCCATCATTTTCTTAATAATTTCTTCATCAGTAGGTATTTTCTCTCCTTTCCAGTTTTTTGCAGATACAATTCTATCCGCTGTTAAGACATTCACAATTAAATATTGCAGTTCTCTATTAAATGTCTCTGGTAAGATCCCTTATAATAATATCTCTCGTTTAAAATCAATATGTCTCTGTCATTTTTTCCAACCACGTATGAATCTTAGTCCAATATCTCTTTGCTTTTCCACATGTCCACCACATATGGTAGTATGTTCCTGGCGTCTGGTGACACTTCCAACATTTCTCCGATTTGTTCTTGAACATTCTGGCTATCCTTGCTGGGAGTAGATGTCACCTGTAAAACATCTTATACAAATTCTCCTTATATGCTGCAGACATTGTCATCTTATAATTATGCAACCACAGTTTTTGCCAATTCTCTAAATCGATACCATGACCAAAATTTTTCCCCCAAGCTATCATTGATTCTTTAACTTGTTCTTCTTCCAATTTCATTTCGAACAAATAACCATATAATTTTTTTAATTACATGGTCGTCAGAGCCCATTAAAATCTTATCTAAATTAGTTAAACCATTATAAAAACTTTCTTGTTTAAGATCTTCTTCATATCTAGAGCGTATTTGCATATATGAAAACCAGTCCATCTTATATCCCAAATCGTCTAGTTCTTGCTTCAGTTTAAGTTCATCCTTTTCATTCAATAGTTCACTATACCTAACAATTTGTTCCTTTTTAAATACTATCAAATATGTAAAAGCTGGAATTTTCAAATAATATTGCTTTTTGACCTTCTCCCAATTCAACAATAAAGCTTCCTGTATCTGATGTTTTCTAAAATACCCCTGTATTTTTGCACCCTTATACCATAAGAAAGCATGCCAACCCATCAATAAATCATGACCCTCCAAGTTCAATAATCTTGTATTTCTCAAAGTTATCCATTCTTTAATCCACATTAAACATGCTGCTTGATAATAAAGTTCAAAGTTAGGTAAACCAAAGCCACCTCTCATTTTAGCATCTTGTAACAACTTTAACGTTATCCTCGCCTTTTCCCCCTGCCAAATATATTTCAATATCATTTTATTGAAATCCTCAAAAAATTCCTTCCCCAACTTAATTGGAATTGTCTGAAATAAGTACAGAATTCTAGGTAAAATATTCATCTTAATAGTTGAAATCCTACTAATCAATAATAATTGCAAGTTTCCCCATTTCACCAAATCTTGCCCTATCTGTTGTTTAAGCTTGTTATAATTATTTTCTTTAAGTGCACCACATCTTGCTGTCAAATGTATCCCCAAATATTTTACCTTGCATCTTTGATATCTCAATCAGTTCTTCTTTTTGTTTTTTCAACATATTTTTAGTCATTATCTTCATTTTATAATTATTAATTTTCAGGCCTGCTACTTTCCCAAATTCACCTATAGTTTCTTTCAGTTTATTTATTGTTTTTAATGGTTCTTCTATTATAAAGACCAGGTCATCAGCAAAAGTTTGCAATTTGTATTCCTCTTTTTGGATTTCCATGCCTTTTATTTCTTTTTCTTCTCTGATGTTTCTATTTAAAACTTCCAACGTCAATATAAACAAAAATGGTGATAACGGGCATCCCTGTCTTGTACCTTTTTCTATCTCAATAGCTTCAGTCATTTCTCCATTAATTATTACTTTTGCAGTCTGCTTATTGTATATAGCTTCAATTGCCTGGATAAATTTCCTACCAAAACCCATCTCTCCCATTTGAAGTGTCATAAATCGCCAATTAACATTATCAAAAGCTTTTGAGCGTCTAAAAATTTCAAAGCCATCTGTTTTTCGGGGTGAGCTTCATAGTATTCTAGTGTATCTAAAATTACTCTTATATTGTCTCTTAAATTTGTCTTTTTGGGAGGAATCCATTCTGGTCTATATGTATAAAATTGTTCAAGTAGCTCTTTAAACTGTCTGCCAATATTGAAGCAAAAATTTTATAATCCGAGTTTAACAAAGATGTAGCTCTGTAATTTTTGATTTGTTGCGGATCTGTGTCTTCTTTATGTATCAGCGTAATATATGCCTCAGTCCATGAATTGGGTATTTCCTTCTTTGTCATCACTTCATTCATAACCTCTAATAATGGGAGAGCCAAAGGTTCTTGTAATGCCCTATAGTATTCAGCCAGTAAGCCATCTGGTCCTGGTGCCTTCCCATTCTTTTGCTTCTTAATTGCTTCTGTTAACTCTATCATTG